AATGATTCTGGAATACCATGATTCATGATTATAAGGCTCGTGATGTTTGAACGTTCCCACTTATCAAAGTTTCATTTTTCGTCAATGGAACTTTTATCCGTTAGTGCAACGGGTTGTTCAATCCTTAACGTAATGTCTAAGTTCATGCAGTCAAGAACGATCTGAATGTTTTCTTTCCCGTCCTTAAAGTTGGTTCTATTTAGAACGGAAATAGAGTTGATATTTGCAGATATTGTAAAAGTGGAAGTAGAAGATTTAATTGAATAGAGAACGAAAATCAAAGAAACATATTCATATTACAATCCGTATTAAACAATTAATTAATTCAAATAATGGTATACCCCATTACAAGAGACTGTGCACAACATTAATATTTAGCCTTCGGACAGAAATACCAACTTGTAAGTAATACTGTTGGTATAGTAATCAAATATTGATAATAAACTATGTCAAATAATAAACTTATCTTTGGACCGATTTATTGTTCACATAAAAAAAAAACTTTACAATTGTCATATATTTATTACTACACGTGTTCATGTAATTCGGTCAAATATGTACCTTCCTTTAGGCTGATGAATATTAGCAAAAATTACAAACACAGAACCTTCCTAATATTCCAAATAAATTAATCTAAACAAGAGAAGTTATTTTGGTAACATGTTGTTTCAACTAATTTATTTAGGAAAATTAGTAATTCAAACCAAGATCTGAATTTAATTGTTAATTCCTTATTATTTTGTTTTAATATCTAAATATTAAAAAAATAAAAATAAAACTTGAATAGGAAACATGCGACGCCTGTAGAAATCGGGCGAAGCAGCGCTTAGCGGGCCCTTCCAACATGTCGTAACGCAGAGCTGCAGCGTTGCGTTTGGGCAACGCAACGATGTGCGCTGCTATAATGCAGAAAAAAGTGCCCAAAATCCAAAATTTTGATATTTACTGTTTGAAATTCACATTCCAAAATTTTATAAAACTAAAATATGAATTTCAACTCTAAAAAAATCTTCCTTAATCTCAATGTTTTAACATGGATTTACTCAGATATAACTTGTTGAATTTTTGTAAAACTTAAACTTTATAAAACATTATGAATTGCTAAGATCTCCGTGTCAAATCATTAAGAGAATTAATTACTGCAGAACATTCATTGATCCATTGATTCGTATCTTAAATATTGAATATTAAAGCTTTAATCTTTTGTCTTCAAGATCAACTTGCAATCCCCTCTTGATTTATCTTCTTGCTTCTTAATTAATTGATCTTGATTCTTGATTTGTAATTCTCAAATCTTACTCTTCAATATGCTTTCTCTATTAATTCTTGTATTGATGGAATGATACAAAGAACGAGAAATTGCATATTAATTGTGAACCGCAACCTTATATATAGTTTCCATATGTATTTTGTCCATCATGAAATACAATTATAAAGGAATCTAGTCTCTACACATATAATTTAGCCCACACTTTATTTAGATGTCCAAAATCCAATTATTTAATTCTTTATTAGATTACTTTAATTTTGTATTTAACTTTAAAATAGCATTTATACACAATTAATTACATATGTCGGCCCACATGACAAATTAAATATTTTTCCAATATCCCAATCAATCCATCGGCCTATCTTAGAAGCAACATTAGTGTTGAGTTTAATACATCCAATTTAGGGAGCCATTCATTTCAGCAACAAGCAACCTAGTGCAGTCTAACTAGGAGGGCATATGGTGGCCCTACAATATTCTTATAACTCAAGCCTACACAATAGAACATGGAAGAGAAAGGAACAAAAAGAGGAGGAGGAGATTTCAGTGGGATTGAATGGGTGTACAAATAAATCAGTGGAATTTTTGTGGTATATAATTTTTAATTGGGTTGAGTTATATTAGTCATATTGAGGTGGTGTATTTATTAAAATTAGTTTTAATTGGGGTGAATTTAAAATATAGTGAAATAAAAACGAATTATAGCCCTTGTTTGAGCACCAGTGTTTTTTTTAATCAAATACATTTTTGAACAGTGATTTGATTTTATTTTAACCACATATTTTAATAAAATAATATTATACGTAAACTCAAAACTTCTTATTTTTTAACAAGAAAAATTCATAAATCATACTTTAAGTATAGACTATTTCAAAAATAAGAAAACAACTTTTAAATTTCAAAA